TGTAAAAGAGCCTCGAGCTGACAGCTGGAAGTACTGAGCAAGCGATTGCGTAAAGGCTGGTTGTAGTTAATTGTTTGGTGCATTTAAAGCCAATTGAAGGATCAAGGCCGCTACCTTTAATAGAAGAATGCCCTAAAGTTAACTTGAACGTCACTTTTCTATCCCTTTTTTTTTTTCCTGTGGGCTTTGTGTTTTGGCTAATACTAGCATAGTATTCGCATAATGTTATGTCCTGTTTGGAAGGACAGATTTAGTAATGCCCGTGTTTAGTAATGTTTCTGTGCTTTACTGCTTGCTATTCTAGTTACTGTTGGTTTGCAACGTGGTTCCTTGCACCAAGTTTTGGGCCTCAAGTTGTTGGTGCCCGAAGCTGTCACAGAGGAGCTGCCCTGTTCAGCCCTTGAATTGTGCTTCTCCGTGGTCTGCTCCTCTCTGGCTAACGCACTATGTCCCTGTTGCGCTTGCAGACAGGTTGCGTGGGATTTGCACCACGATTGCATGAAGTAGTGATGCAGCACTGGAAGGTGCTGGAAGTGAGGACTTCTAAATTAAAGATCTTTAGCTGGTAAGGCAGCTAGCGAGTTGCTCGCTTTTGATTTTTGTTTTCTTTTTCATATTTTATCAGAGCAAGTAGCTTGACTTGCTCTACCTGTTTCCTCCTCCGAGTACAGTGAAGTTATTGCTTCACATGGCTCGAGTGGGGGTTTTGGGAGAGCAGTAATGCTGTAGAGTATTAACATAGTGGTGGGATCACTTTTGGTTTTTGTTTTCTTTTTCAGTCTCATATTTTATCAGAGCAAGTAACTTGACTTGCTCTACCTGTTTCCTCCTCTGAATACAGTGAAATTGTTGCTTCATGTGGCTCGAGTGGGTGTTTTGGAAGAGCAGTAATGCTGTATGTGCTGTAGAGTATTAACATAGTGGTGGGGGTGTTCAGCGTATAGCTCTGTGGCTGTAGTCTGCAGGGATGGTTGTGATCACAGTGCTTTGTAAGGGAAGCCTGAGTAGTTGCTGGAGTTCAGTTTCAAATATGTATGTTAAAGAGATGTTAATCTAAAAATCAATTTCTCTCTTAAAACAGGTGCTCGTTACATTTATGAGTATACTAGGTGGTTCCAGCTGAGCTGGAGTTAAACTGAAAGCTAATTCAGTACTTTACCTGAGAGAAGGTAACTGACCCAACAAGAGAGGCTTGAACTTCTTGGGGGTCCTGTCAAACGAGCAGCATTTCTGAAACAGCAGGCACCCTACAAAAACAAGTCAAGACTTACCAGCACTGTGATGTGAATTATTACCTCTGGTTATCTGTGTTTGCATTTGCAGCATGTGTGACAGCTGTTTTTATTCTCACGGTTCACCTTCATGTTGACAGTGTGGCTCTTAGACATAATGTCAAGAAAAGGAAAAATCCAGACTTCAGACAGGCCTCTCAAAAGCTGGAAGATTGATAGACACTCAAGTGAATATAACAGCCATATTTTAAATTCTTTCAATTTTGAAACATATAATACTAGGTTGATAAAAATAGAATAGGTCTGCAAGATTGATTGGAGTCAGTGGTTAAAGTTGCGTGTGCTAATCCAGGTTTGCAGACTTGATTCAATGCAATGCATTTCTCTCTGCTGCTTAGCCCTAGGAAAACTTTTCTAAAGGATATTAAAGATTAAGTGATCAAAAC